TTAGAGTTAATGGCTTGGAATCTAAGTCGTGGATAATATCATCCGATCCAGAGAAGTGGAAGCCCCTGTGGGTTGCTGCTGTACTGGCGTTGCTTACGTCGGATAGGGTGGCTGCTAAGACGGGCACCTACAGGTGGCTCCAGCCATCGATTCGGTTCCGCGTAGGCGGATCATGACGGCTGCCGTCAAACACATGACAAGCCTTGTGCCGCACAAGGCTTCTGAAAAGGCCTTTTCTTTTTGCCGTCCTCGACCTTGTCTTGTTCCGACGTGTCTGGGTGTTTGTGATCCCCACTAAGCTCAGTTTAGTAAACTGTATAACTTGAGCCAGATGGCTACGGTTACGGACAGCCTAATCCATGAGACTCATGCGTGAATCACTACAACTAGAGCAACCTTAATCAGGTCTATGTATAAACACCGTACAGCCACAATGCTAACCAAAGAGAAGCCTGCTGTCGTCATCGCGCACCAGTCGTTGCAGGCGCTCGCTATTTTCCAGATACTTCCAGGGTCTGAACATGGCGTTCCAATTCCCTTTCCGTCGTTTCATCCCTTGTCGTTGACCCCGGACTTCGTCACTCTCGTCAGAGATATAACGATCCTGGCCTTAGTAATCAATGTTTGATCTGCCTTTGATATGTCATCTGGTCATCTCCCATCAGAGTCACATTGTTGGGGTACCAGCACTGTTTGCTGCAGTACCTTCCTTCATCGCAGCGTTTGATTGCTTAGCAGTAACCGGAGCGTCACTAGTGGCCACGCCCTCCACCTTGCATTTCGATAAGGGAGAAGGAAGTCAGGAAGCTGAATCACTGGCAATATAGATATGACATGTAATTTCATACTAACCAGATATGATAGCAACCATATACTGTCATGCCCAGAAGCGCAAAGTTTTATTGCGCCCTACCCAGCGGGGAGTCCCCATGTAAAGCACCACCGGAGCCCAGCGCCAACTGCAAATAGCGATTTCCACCATTGCGTTGTGTTGTGCACTTGTTGCGGTTGGCGCTCGCCCGAAGATGGCGAGCGCGAGAATAGTCTGACATAGTCGTATGAACTCTGAGCCGTACTATGTTGACACACGTAGAATGCACCCCTCATCAGCGATCGCCTGAGAGTTTGTATTTGTTGGTCTCATCCGCTCTACTATATCAGACGCGTAGTATTCTGATAGGAGCAATATTTGAACACGAGTATTCTTCTTTGTTTATAAACACGATTTGGGTTGGAAGGAGATGCTCGTCCAACGTCACTGAGAAGTCCACTTCCTATGAAGTAGCGTTCTGTGCTTCGTAGCAGTTTTGTCGTCTACTCCCATGAGTCGAGACTCGTCACCCTCATCATCCTCTTCAGCTGCGGCAGTAGCTTCCTCTTCCTCAGTGACGAATCGAGTCATCCTACAGCCCAATAGGGATGTTTGGGGAGCTCGAGGGGAGGCCGCCAATCGGGTGGTCCGGCTTGTGGCAGCTGGAGGCGCCCTCAAGAGGAATGTTAGGCGAAAACGAGAACCGTAATAGGACCTGGGAAGAGGCGTTTTCCGATACAACGTGATAACCGGTCAGCTGTCTGTCAATGGAGTGGGAAGTGTATCGTCGTGGGGGAAGGGTTTAAGGAGGTTCATTTCTAGTATTGTTCGGGACAGGTCCGCTCCTTCGGGCCCGACCAAGTCGGCAACAGTCGCTGGACGGAGTGGGGCCAAACGTCAGAAGATGAGTATACGGAACTCGAAGGTGCATCCAAGCCCTTTGCGGAGAGGAGGCAGGGCGTTGGAGGAGGAGACGATGGGAGAGGCTGGTTTAGAGTCTCTGAGTAAGATAGAGGAGAGAGGCTCCTTCTAGGTTGAGGGGAACATGATACTGTGCTCGATAACGTACTCTGGTATAACTGTGCAAACTGGAATGGTAAAATTTCGAGCTCCAACGAATCCTGACCGGTGTGGCTTGTATAGAGAATATGTGACGGAAACGCGATGCTGAATAGGCCGTCAGCTTTACAGTGGTAGTGACATCGAACATTGCGGGGCTTTGCCTGCTTTCAGTAGTGAATACGGCAACCCGTCTTGTTTAGAGCAGCTCTCTATGTTAGAGAGTGAGCCTGTGTTTTGCATGGAAGTCTGTTGCTGAGTGTTTAGGTTGAGTAGTCATTTGCCTCAGGTGATGGATCGGTGGGTGCATGTGAGTGGGCATCGGAGAGGAGCTGGAGTCCGACCAGACCGACCAAGGCAGGGGATGACACGCACAAGGTGATCCGCTTCGCTCCGTCGGCTTTTTGTAATAATTTATTGTAGGCTGATGGAGAGGCAGCGGCTCCGATGAGCTCCAGTGAAGTGGCCAACACTGCTGGGTAAGCTGTCTGATATTGTGCGTAGTGGGTTCCGTTTCGAGAGGTTTATCGTTCAGGTCATCTTCATCTTCTCAAGAAGAGGGTGTAGCATCATCATCATCAGCAGCAACATCCTCGCAGCTGCCGGTTGAGGCGGTCTCTGGAGTACACGAGTATGTGTGGAAGCATTTCCAAGGCAATGGAGACGATGAGAGGCTGGAGATCATAGCAGAAGTTGGACAGGTGGGTTTGGAAGGATGACCTTTTGAGAGCTGTTCTGCTTGCTTGCCACTGAAGTATAGTCACAGTGTATAGGTGCTTCTTTTATCATGATTCTCTAACGCATACGCCTAAGGCGTATTACGCATTCACGGGACTTGTGTGGTGCAGTGAAATAGTGAATCGCTGACTCTTAGGTTCTCCTGGAGGATGCTCAGAAATATGCGGACAAGGTGAGACTTGCCGTTGTCGGGCATTCTGTTGGGGAGGGATAGTGGATGATCCGATGACACGGTTGGGGTGTTTTGTCAGAAGTCGATGTTAGAGGAGTTGGCTGACTTGGAGCCTATTATAGGAGGCCATGAGGCTGTTGATGAGTAATAATAGGGATGTGTGTGTAGGGGTTGTGGAGGCATTGTGCCTGGTAGGTTTGTAGACTATCTTCTGTCTATACGGCCGGGTGAAGTGGAGCCAGAGAAGGTGGAGGAGAAGAATGTTACAGCAGATGGTAGTAGATGTGTGTTTGATCGTCTATTGTGGGGGTGTTTCCCATCTCGGCGGCTCGGGTGCTCGCTGTGAACACTACCTTGAAACGAATCTAGAGGCCAGTATTGGAATAAGTGGTAGCTTGCCCCAACCGAGCTCAGTAGTTCCTGGATGATAAGATAAGTGGGATAGGAATGTACAGAAACCAACGAGAATTTTCCCAAAAATTTTCTCAATTCTGTCGCCAACACATGCAGTTGACCATGTGCATATTTTCCCACGTTGATAGATCCAGTCATGGCTCGTCGGGATTTGTCGTGTAGAGCACTCAGTTGTAGTGGTTGAGTCATTAACCTACCTAAAAAGCTTGATGAGAATGATCGATCGAGTTATGGTAGGTACAAATGCTACTGCTGCGGCCGCAAGTGCTTCCTCTATAGGAGACAACACTAAGAGGTAGTATAGTCAACCTGTCTGTGGCTTGTTCGGACTGGAGTGGTAGGTCTACTCAACAAGGAAGGGAGGTGACTCTAGTGCCACGAGGAAGTCGCGAGATGGTAGGTCTTAGTATCGGCCGATGGTGGAGTATTCTTCCTTGGTCTCAGATGAGCACTCAGCCACCGCCGCCGCCACCTCCTCCTAATGGTAAGTGGTCACGCCTCTGTCAGCCACATGAGGTCGTCAGGTGCTACAGCGTGGAGCTCCGTAAGCTGCTATGGCGGGCAAGCTGCTGTACCTCCTCCGCCGCCGCCTCCACCACCGCCGCCGCCGCCGCCGTCGTCGTCTACGCCCTTTGAGAGGCGACGTGTACCAGCTGGTTGGGTAGCTGCAAGTCGAGGGTAGGCATGGGAGTTGGCATTATCATTAGAGTACGCTTGGTTAGGTCGATAGCACAAGGGGCAGGCTCTCGATCTGCGTTGACGGGAAACCTCACGTACAACCCCTCGGGCTCCATGACGGTGGTAAGGAGAGGTAGCTGTGTTGGAGGGGGTGGGGAGTTTGCGGAATCAGGTTGAGAAGGAGAAGCGAATGGAGCTGGAGAAGAAGCGAGTTTTGTTGCAGTGTACGGAGAGTATACGGAAGCTTCTGTCGAAGATGAACGAGGCTGGCATCACTGAGCGACAAAGGGAGGTAGGTTGAAGGGTGCACTCCAGGGGGGGACTGATGTATGTTTAGAAGTATAAGGTGATGATTAAGCGTATCAAGGAGACCATGGGCAGCCTGGATAAGGGCCATCATACGATTGTGCATAACAAGTAGGTTGAGGAGAGGTGGAATTGGAATAGTGGTAGTTGTAGTAGAGTTGCTTCATCAGGTCGGCTACTGTAGCTACTGGTGCTTCCTCGACTGTGGAGCCGGCGGCGGCAGCGGCGGATAGGAAAGTAAGTTGCAGCATAAGGCTCCAGAGGTTCGGTACTCGTGGTTGGAATAGGTCCTCTTGCCGGCCCGAGTGATGCAGTCACATAACTTGCTCCCTGCTACTAGTGCTGGGAAGACCATTAATCAGGTAGGGCACAGGAAGTGACCGTTCCATCATCAACTTACTCCTCCATCATCTTAGGCGTCTCCCACTACTGCCAAGTAGTAGAAGTGCCTATCTATATCAACGTCAATAGCAAGGCGACAAGCGGCGGTTGAGGTCATCTTGTAACAGCCTGATACCAGCAGCAGCAGCCAGTATGAGATGGACCTAGACCTGGCGTTATGTTCATTATAATACCATCATTCCCATTGTATCTATTATTCTTCCAGACTTAAGCGACACTTACTCTGCATTCTGACGACGATCACTGGAGCAATGTTGTGCATGCGTGCAGATTGCAAAGTTGTATATTTGTGTCCATCACCACCATCACCACCACGTACTGTCTTATTTGCCTCACGTAGCTGGTCTGCGGCCTTATCCTCTTCCATCCTCTGGGGCTGATTTGTTGTTGTGTTACACTGGCGAAGTGACGGAAGTGTGGTATGACATTTCTTCTGGGAAGCGAGTAAATAAATGGGGCTCTTAGATGTCGAGTAGTCAGTCAATAGCAGTCAGTGAGTTGAGGAGTGCGCGAGTGAAGTTTCGAGGATCAGAATGTCTACCGAGTTCAAATGCCTTTTGTAAAGGAAGACAGTCGCGTTGCAGAAGTTGTGGACGATAGCCCCCCCAGAGAGGAGGCGGATGACGCCTCTGCTGGTAAGGCCCGACTTGGTTGGTTGGGGTGAAATGGGTGCTTTTAGACGGGTCGGAAGGAGGAGCTGATGAGAGGGTGCGGTCCTTGCCAGAGGCACAACGACTAAAGCAAGAAGGGAATGAACATTACAAGGCGAAACGAATATCTCTGGCGATGGATCGCTACACTTTGGTGAGGAAGTTCTCGATGGATGGTATGGGAATTGTGAGTGGTAGGCCTATGCGACGTGTCCGAAAGAAGAGAAGATCGTCCGGTCGCAGTGCCTTGCCAACAGGTGGGTACTTGTCTTGGTTCTCTCGCTGGTGGGAGTAGTCCCTTCAGGGCTGCCTGCCATTACTTCTTTTCGGAATGGGAAGAGGTTGTTGACGATTGCACTAAGGCACTCGAGTTGGATCCCTCGTACGGCAAAGTCGTTGGTAGACGAGCTAATGCGTGAGTGGGGTCTGTGTTGCAATATATGCTTGCTTTCCTCAGCTGAGCTCAGAAATTTTAGGAGTCTACTTAGAGATTGGTTTATTAGTGTAAAGGAACTAAGAAAAGTTTATCAAAATTTCCTCAGAATTTTCTGATTGTCATCAACACACGTGGTTGAGCATGTGCATATTTTCCCATGAAAACTTGTCCTGAGTCATTTTGTGGTTAACCTAGGTATGAGGGAATGCGGAAGTACACCCAATGCAAGGAGGACCTCGATCGTCTGCAGGAGCTGGACCCTACTTGGATAACAGTACCGGCCAACAAGGCGCGCTATAGCAAGATTGAAAAAGCCGGTGAGAAAACTACTATTCGTATTACGATGAGAAAAGTGTATTCAGCGGAGGAGCAGTTTGAACGAGAGAAGGAGGAGATGATGGGGAAGTTGAAGGACCTTGGCAACACCGTGAGAGATTATTGGTATATGTGTGCGCAAGTATTGCATATAACAGGTTCTGGGCAAATTCGGCCTTTCTACTGACAACTTCAAGTGTGTCAAGGACCCCTCTACAGGGAGTTATAGTATAAGTTTTCAACAATAGACGAACACCATCTGTTGAGTTACTCAGTGTGGTTGAGGTTGTGAAAGTATCATCGTGATGGAGGCGTGATCGGTTGAAAAGGCTGCTGTTGCTACGCTAGCACACCCTTCCACGTTAGTGACGGTGTTCTTAGAATGCTCCACATAAGAAGTCGCAAGTGCAGGGGTAGAGCTCTCGGTTTGAGGTGGCTCCCATTCCTGCAACTGCATCAGCTGATACTCGTTGACCAACTTCCTATGGTTTACAGCCTCACACTAAATTTTGGGCGAGCGAGATTGTTCTATATTTCGGGCGAGCGAGATTCTCACCACGAGGTCTACCGCATCACTTGGTATCAGCATTTTCACTCTATAGGGGACGTGGGGGAGGAGGTTGGCGGCGGCGGCGGCTAGCGTGGTGATTGGTAGGGGTTAGCCATTTTTGAGGGTCTGTATGCATTTACAGTTCCTTGTTGAGTAGTACTCGTGAGAGATGGCAAAGTCAATCCGCTCTAAGGTGAAGAAGCGTTTTAGAACATGCAAGAGGCAGCTCGTTAGTGCTACTATTGATAAGAAGCGCCTTCAGAACACCAACCAGAGGCTTCAGGAGGTCGCCAGTGGTAGTAGTGGCTTATCGTATACTCTCTGTAGCATACTACTGTAGGGGTCTTTGTGAAGCCGACTACTCCTAAGAATGCCTTCCTGTATCCGGATGATCCCGCGGCAGCTTTTCCTAAGGTTGGTGGCGATATGGGAAGGTGGAGGAAGGGGAAGGTGCTCTTCTTCTTCAGGTCATTGTGGCTAAGCCTTTGGACTTCCGGAGTGAAGCCATGCCTCATAGTGGTTACGCTATCACTGGCAATCGCAGAAAGTAATACCACACCTCCGTCACTTCTTCCATGAGCGTGACCAGGTATGTAGCCTCGGAGTTCGAGAGTATCCCTCGTGTTGTTGTTGGTGATGACATCGGAGGCTCTGTGAGGGCCAAGCTGGCATTTGTGCAGAAGCCCGACGATGCCGATATCGAGATGGACGCCTCTCGAACCGTCCCTGAGCCTGTTCCCGCTACGGGCGTTATAACCCAGGTAAAAACGTCCGGAATGTGGGCATTTGGAAGGTGGTGTTGTGATAGGGCGATTTAGCGAAGGCAGTTGAAAAGGAGAAGGGGGAAGGTAGTGACCTGTTG